CACACCTGTACTATAAAAGTGAAACCAGGGTGCTGATCCTTAACTTGTTAGTGAGCTTTAATCCTCAGTGCCACAGATGTATGCTAAACCTTCACAAGCAGTGTATTTTAATACTCAAATCTGTGTGCTGGAGTGTCAACTGTACTATTAGAATACTTAGCCCTCTGGGATGAACTGTAACCTGTTCTGTGTTGTGATACTCAGGTCTGTGACCTCGCATGTCTGACTGGTACTATTTTGCAATGTACTGAGCTTGAATACTTAAACCAGTGTACTGCTCTCTCACTTGTGTGGATGTGTAATTTTTCAGTGATGTGTATGCTGGACCTTCATCTATAGTGTACTTCAATACTCAAATGTGTGTGCTACACTCTTACCTTGATTGACTTTCAATACTCAATGACAAACCCTGTGTGCTTTACTCTCACCTTTTTAAAAAAAAAAACTCAGATCTGTGGACAGTACTAAAATACTTCAGGTGTGCTGAACTCTCCCCTTTTACTGTGCTTTAATACTCAAACCTGTCTTCTCTACTCTCACTGGGCTGTACTAAACTACTTCAGCTAGTGTGCTGATCTTGTGTTCAGACTGAACTTCAATACTCAGTGATACAACCATTGCTGAAACCTTCACCTGCAGTGTACTTGAATACTCACTCGGTGCTGAAATTTCAACTGTCCTATTATAATACTCAGCCCTGTGTACTGTACTGTTGTAATATATGGAGTGGTGTAGTGCAGTGTCACTTGTACACTGTTGTAACAGTCACCCTCTGTCCTGTATTTCAGTGTAACAGTCAGACTTCTGCCCACAACTGTCACCTGTGCTCTAGTGTAATACTCAGCCCTGTGTACTGTGCTGTTCTGTTAAATGTTTCGTATGTTGTTGTAATACCCAGACCTGTGTACTGTAGAGTGATGTGAACTGTCACTTGTATTGTGTTGCACCAGCCTTGTCTGTTGTATGACAGTGTAATAAACACAGCAGTGTGCCAAACTGTCACCTGTAATCTACTGTAGTACTCAGACCTGGCTGTTGTGTTGTGTTGTAATATCTAGCCATGGGTACTGTACTACAAATTAACAATACACCCAGTGTGCCAAACTGAAACCTGTACTCTACTCTAATACTGAACTGTCAAACCTCAGCTGAAATGGTTTCCTTTCTTCTCTTTTCAGCAGGGAAGAAACCTGGACTTGTTCCTGTGCTGCCTATAGCTGCTGATGTAGATTCCTACTTAAACTGTTGAAACCTTCAGCCCTGTGTACTGTGCTGTTGTAAAATTAAGACTGTGTTGAACTGTCATCTGTACTGTTTGTTAATACTCAGACCTCTGTAGTGTATGGTGTTGGAGTAGATGGACTGGTCTACTGAACTGTCACTTGTACTATAGTGTAACACTTCCTCTATACTGTATTTCAGTGTGACATATGGATTGTGGATTATAGGAAAATGTCACCTGTACTTGATTGTAATCTTCCTTGTGAACTGTTGCCATTGTGGGGTTGTAATACTTAAAACTAGAACTGTCACCTGTGCTGTTCTGTCATACTCAGCCCTGTGTACTGTTGTAAAATTGACTGGTGTGTTAAAGTGTCATCTGTACTGTTCCTTTAATACTCTGACTGCTGTAGTGTATGGTGTTAAAATAGACTGCTGTACTGAACAGTCACTTGTACTATAATGTAACATTTCTTCTGTACTGTATTTCAGTGTTAAACAGGCATTGTGGATGATAAGACAATGTCGATTGTAATAATACTTGGCCTTGTGTACTGTATTATGTGAACTGTTACCATTGTGGGGTTGTAATACTTAAAACAGTCACCTGTGCTATTCTGTCATACTAAACCTGTGTATTGTAATATGTGGACTAGTCTTCTGACCTGTCACTTTTACACTGTTGTAATCACTCTTTACCATATTTGTGAGTAAAAGATGAATTTTGATCTGACAATGTCATCTGTACTTGATTGTAGTACTCAACCCTGTGTACTGTTGTAAAATTGACTGGTGTGTCAGTGTCATCTGTACTGTTCCTTAATACTCTGACTGCTGTAGTGTATGGTGTTAAAATGGATAGACTGCTGTACTGAACTGTCACT